CGATAAAACAGAGGGAGTCGGTAAATGTAACCTCGCACCACGTGGTGGATCGTATCGATTGTTTTGTTACGCTGTAGCCACATGACAATTCCGCCCGTCAGGAGAACGGTGGAACACCTACGGCCTACGGCCTACGGCTCGTGGCGAGATTTCGATTCTCGCGGAACGTAGGAAATAACGACGCGAGGGAAAGAAATCCGAGAATTAAACAATACGTACTAATGTGTGCAAGGATGAACCTTCTTATTCGTACTTGCAATGATGCTTATTTTTTTAATTAATGAAATTACATACGAGATACTTGACATGATATTCTCGAGAAACAAATTGTAAAAATGGCACAATATATATTCCGGGTATTCCACATACGAAAAACATGGAATACTATACAAATCTCTTGTTGGAAATGATATTTATTTATTTTTTATTGACATAATTGACGCAGGTGTTATATACTTACACAAATATTTCATAAAAGAGACACAAAAGGAACACAATTAATCGCATACGCTCTGTCAATCTTTCATTCGTCGCCCAGCGGAGATAGATTTTGTACTAACAACTGATTGCTGTCGCATGCGTACTTAGCGTATCATCTTCGCTGCGTCTGCACCTGTTCCAGTACGTATTTTGTTTTAAAAATTGGACCAAACGACTTGAGTTTTTTTGAGAAGCTAGAAGGATTAACTTATTAGATGACATGTTTTCGTTATTTCGAAAACATTACAATTGTTGGAATAGCGAAGAAAATAGTAAAAATATTAAGAAGTTCTTTTTTCATTTTTTTTCTGATCCTATAGTGAAAATTTAACAAATACCTCTTATACACTTAATTAAGATACATACACGCTGAAAATTGCAGGGTATAAGTTACAAACTATTAAAAGTGGTTAGACTTACAAGTTAGAGTTACAAATAAGTTACAAAACTAAAAAACTCGTACTTTCGACTTATAAACCTGAAGATTTTTTACTACTTCGGTGCTCGTAGCTTCTTTGCTTTGACCGACGAATTTTGTTATGACTGGGCCCGATAATGGTGGCCTGACCTAGGTCACTCTGAAAGTCACCATCGGGTGTCGATCGAAAACGAAGAGACAGGAATACTGTTTCGTTGAACGTCGACTAGAATGGTCATAAAACCAGCTTTCGATTTCACTATTGTTATTAAGCAGTATTATTGATATATATACATAGATAGTAATGATATACTTAGTCATGGCAATAAGGAAACTGTAACATCGCAGCTTCACTTTTCTTTTTCTTAGATATATAAGTCTACAAGAGGCATATTTCGAATGTTCATTATAGGCTAAGATAAAAAAGTTGAAAAAAGTGTCTGTTACTATTTTTGTGCGTGTTTTGTCAAACATTTCCCTGTACATTGTGAAACAACTAATTACAATTAAATCATTAAAACTTAATTATCTAGACTAATCTTTAACTTCTCATAAACATTCAAATCATTTTATGGATAACTAGCTGACGTACCCGCTCTCGCGCGGGCAGTTTCATATTGCAAATCATATTTTAGTTCGTATATACAGACTAGACTGTAATATACCGTGAATAAATAAGCAGCATAGAATTTTGGATAGTGCAGTATGAATCACATCGATTTGCGGCTTTTTAAACTTTTTTGTCTGCCTCAGCTCATCGTTAGCTAAAGAACATTGTCGCTGGACTGTTCCTTCGACTAACTTTGGCCAACAGGAATAAATGGGCTGTTGAGCGCCGGGCGAGAGGCCAGCGACTGACGATCGAAATACAATGTAAACAGATAAGGAATGAAACGCATGAATGCAAATTTAATCTTTTATAGTTTTCAGTATACATTCATTAAAGTATCACGAATGAACTGAGGAGATTCTGTCGGTGGAAATGAGTCCAAATACGACATCATTCGGATTATTTTCAATAATATATCATTTTCATCCGCAACATTACGTATGAGTAACAATTGTCCAATTACACTCGAATTTGGACGTATTTTAATCGGGAGAATTTCTTCAATTCATTCATGACATTTTCATTAAAATATATTGCAAATTGTAAAAGTTTAAATTTTCATTCGTGCGTCATTCCTTATCATATCTACGTCTGTTTACATTGTATGCCGATGGGTCGGTCGCTGGCCTTGGACGTTCGGCGAGAATCGAAATCTCGCCACGAGCCGTAGGCCGTAGCTATTCCATCGTTCTCCTCACGAGTAGAATTGCATGCGGGACATGAGGCAACAGCGTAAGAAAAACGATACTGTCCGGCAACACTGTCTTCGCGTAGGAAATATACAACAAAATTTATTTGTGGGTACTGCCGCTAGATGTCGTATTATCAAGCCGTCCCAAATATCGATTTTGTGTTTCCGCTGGCGTCCGGTTGTTTATATCCGCGCTTCGATCGATTCGGAGTTGGCCCCAAAGGAGTCTCCCCCCTTAATATTTCCCTTTACACATCTTATAGGCTAAATACCCGTAACTGATAATCTAAACGGTAACATACTACATCGTTCTTAAATCTACCTAATTCTATGAACTATGTATTCGCCGTATCGTTCCGGTACCTTTCTATTTCGTTTCGGTCTCCCTGAACTATTTACATCTATCTGTTCCTTATCTTTATCGCCCTCGCTTCCCCTCGCAGCGTCAATGTCCCTTCCGTCTTCCGCCCTGTCCTGTGCTCCCTCTACGCCCTCCTCTCCTTCATCGAAATCTATGATTTTTCTCACCTCTGTCATTCTTTCCCTTCTTTTGATTTTACCGTTACCGTATTTCCCTTTCATTCCGCCACCGTGAAGTCGTCTGTTCCGAAAGTCGTGCTTAACTTATGTTTCTTCGGTTCCTTCACTAATACTCTATCCCCTTGTTTTACTGTACTCTCTTTGGCATGATGCACCTTATCGTAATAATCTTTTCCTATCTGTTTCCTCCACGCATCTCGCTCTCTTACTTCTTCCTCTACGAATCTATTCTTTCCTATCTCTGGCAATTTCGTTCTTATTTCCCTACGAAACATTAATTCCGCTGGTGAAACCGCTGTTACAATGTGTGGTGTCGACCGGTACATTAACAAGAATTTCAACAACTCTTCGCGCCAATTCTTTTTTTCCGCATGTGCTATTTTCAGTCTTTTTTATATCCTCCTGTTTTGCCTCTCTACCTCGCCATTTGCCTGAGGCCAATACGGAGCTGTATTTGAAATCTTTACGCCATTTTCATTTAACCACTTTCGTAATTCCGCGTCCGTAAATTGACTTCCATTGTCGCATATTACTATTTTTGGAAAACCGAACCGCGCAAACATTTCAAACAGGTGTTTTTTAATACTAATTGCGCTCGTATTTGTTAGGATCACGGTTTCGAAATACCTACTATAGTAATCCGTGACCACCAAAATGCTTTCTCCGCTGGGCAGTGGTCCCATCAGATCCATCGCTATCGTTTCCCATGGTCCTTATGGTAACGTATTCGGTTTCAAAGGTGGTGGTTCGACTGTTTTTTGTACCAATTGGCACCCCCTACATTTCACTGCTTTTTCTACGTCTTTATCCATCCCTTCTCACCACACTTTACTCCTCAACCTGTGTTTCATTGCTACAATGCCCGGATGCCCCTCATGCGCCAACTCTAGCGTTCTCTTTTTTTAAACTTCCGGAATTACTATTCGCACCCCTTTTAAAACAATATTATCCTTAACGCATAATTCATCCTTTAATATTCGAAATCGCGAGTCTTTTTAAAGTCCCCGATCGTCTGTCTCGAGCGCTCTCCTCATCTCAATCAACATTTTGTCTTTTCCGGATTCAATGTTTATTTCTTTTGCCGTCATTGCACATGGAGTTGTTTCTTCCACTAACCACGCGATATACTTCCTGTCTTTTTCACCTCCCCTTTCTTTTCCATTCCCGGCACAAAGGCGTGATAACGCAACCGCAATATTTGTCTACCCTTTTCATAGACTACCTTATATTTAAACGACTGTAAACGTAGTACCCATCGCTCAATTCTCGCGTTCGGTTTTTAGCTCAAATTCTGTACCATAAATCCAATTATAAAACCGCTCGCACGCATATACCAATGCTAACGCTTCTTTTTCCGTTTGCGAATATAGTCTTTCACTGTCCGACAAACTCCTGCTCGCGTAGCTAATTACTCGCCATTGTTGCGTATCATCTAGTTGTGTTAATACACATCCTAAACCTACTGGACTTGCATCTGCTATTACCCTTGTTCTTGCGCGAACACTGAATTTCCCGAGCGTTCCGGCCTTTGTCAGTTCCGCTTTTAATAGTTTAAATGCGTTTTCTTGCTCTACTCCCCATGTAAATGTGACGCTTTTTCTTGTCAACCGCCTCAGCGGTTCGCTTATTGTAGCCAAATCTGAAATAAAAGCCGCGCAACAATTCACAAGCCCCAGGAAACTGCGTACTTCTTCCGCTGTTTTTGGCGCGCGAAACTTATTTACGGCCTCTACTTTCGATTCCAATGGTTTATACCCATTTCCCGAAATTCGGAATCCCAAAAATACAATCTCGTTCTTTCTGAAAACACATTTTTCCCTATTTAGCGTTACTCCTTTCCGCGACACCGTTTCAAGTACCCGCGTCAGTCTCTCATCGTGCTCTTCTTTCGTTCTTCCGCATACAACAATATCGCCTATAAAATTTATCACTCCTTCACAGCCTGCCAGTACCGTCCGCATTATTCTTTGAAACATTTCCGGCGCGCAACTTATATAAAACATTAACCTTTTATATCTAAATAATCCTGCTTCTGTTACAAAAGTCGTGATATCTCTGCATTCCTCGTTTAATTCGATTTGATGGTACGCGGATTTTACATCCATTGTACTAAACCACTCACCTCCGCGCACAACGTCCAAGATTTCCTCTATTACAGGCAGGGGGTACCTCTCCCTCAAAATCGCTTCGTTTGCTCGGCGCATGTCAACACATAACCTAACCTCCCAGTTTTTCTTTATTATTGGAACTACCGGTGAAACCTATTCTGTTGGGCCTTCGACCGTCTCAATAATATCCAGATCGAATAATTCTTTTAATTGTTTATTGATTTGATCTCGTAGTTTAAACGGTAATCTTCGCACTGGCTGTGCGGCGGGTGGCTGTGACCTATCAATAGGTATCGTTAATTTGAAGTCTTTCAGTTTCCCTATCCCCCGAAAAATATCAAGCTCTTCCCGTTTTACCTCTACTTCATTTACTCGTAACCCTATTCTTAATATTTCCAGCTCTTTGGCCGTTTTATAACCTAAAATTGGTCGCCCCTTACCTTTCAAAACTACGAAACTCGCTTTCCTTTTCTTATCCTCAACCTCAACATCGCACCAAAATTGCCCTATTAGCTCGAGCGCGGTATCATGTCCGTATGGATATACATTTTTGTCTACGCACCTACTCGTTTCACAGACGATTTTCCTGTCTCTGCACCACGTCCACGTGTTTTCATTGACCACGTTGCACTGTGCCCCTGAATCAATTAACATATTTAACCTAATACCGCCTATCTTAACGTTCGTACACTGTCCCTCTTGCATTACACTAATCCGGCAATCCGTTTGTAAACCGAATGCATATCTCGATCCTTCTGCCCTGGCCTCTTCATCCAGCTCCTTGACCCTCACTCTGGCACGTGGTGGTTCTCGCCTTCCTCCGTTGTTCGGTGCCATCGGCGATCTGCACCTCGCCGCAAAATGGCCCCTTTTTCCGCATTTACTGCACGTTCTCGATCTCGCTGGACACCTCTCATCCTTGTACGAATGTCCTGTATATCCACACCGGAAACATTGACTTTCGTTTTCCTTCTCTGTCCCCATCTCGAACTTTCGTTCTTTCTTCCCACTATGCGTCGCAGCAACCGTTTGCCTTTCAATGTTTTTTGTTTGTAGCTCGATCACCTCGATCGTTCTCGCAATTTCCATGGCGTCATTCAGCTTGAAGTCTACCCTCTCCAAGAGGCGCCGTCGAATTTCGTTCGACGCACATTTTTCCACTATTTGCCCACAAATTTCTATTTCCTCCGCTGGAAATTCGCAATTTTTCGCTTGTTGCCTTAATCTCGTGATGTACTGGTTCATAGTCTCACCGTCCCTTTGTTTTATCTGACGAAACATGTGCCTCTCATACGCCATATTCAATTTTGGCTTGAAATGCGTCGTTAGCGCGTCCGCCGCTTTTTTGTACGCGTTTTCTCCTTCCCCGACGCTATCTGCGTCTGGCAACGTATAGAAAACATCCTGCAATTCGAGCCCGCCGTGATGCAATAACATTGCTTTCTTCCTGTTATTGTCTGCCACATTTTTACTTGCCACAAATAACTCAAAAGCTCTAAGCCACCGCTTCCATGCTGGGTATACGCTTTCGTCGTCCTCATTTGGGTTGAACGTGGGTAAACCTTCTCCAGTCATTGTGCACTTCCCCTTTAATTCTCGTCGCCAAATGTAATAAATGTATCCTTTATTCCCTTAGAACTAATAACCGTTCTTTACGTTCCCCGCCCGTGGCATACACACATCGACTGACTCGACTCACTCTCCCCACCACTGCCCTCCGTCCGCTCACCGCTCGGCCTGCTTCATCCATATACTACAGTGATGAACGACGAACAATCCGGTTCCTTATGGCTTCACGGACCCGCTCGCGAAGATTAATTTGATGTTCTTAATCTTACGACATCAAGTTTTGTTTCCCAGTCAAATGCTCAAAATGCAATTTCGAAAGTGGACGGGCCAATTTTTATTGAAGAAAATATTGTTGAAAAGGAGTTAACGGCACCTCACACTAATTTTATTATTAATGACATTTTGCATAGCACTGAGGGTAACTTTCCGGGTAAAAATCCTAATTTTATTGTTGAAGCGGACAGAGATCCCAATTTTATTATTGCAACTGTTGAACAAAGTCGTGTATATGGAAGGTGATTCGCTGTCATGTGTGAATGTAGGTGAGTGTTTCTGTAAACTGAACATGATAGAGAGGGCGCGTCGTCGTCGTTTACGAGTGAGAGAGTTTAGAATGCGTGGCAAAAAGTCTGTCGGTGTGCAAGAGAATTTTCCAGCAATTAAGAAGTTTATTTCAGTTATATTTTTCGCTTAGTTTATTGATTAAAGAGTTGTGTTTACAATTACGTGTAACTGGCACTATTACTTTCCAAAACCTCCTAACCTTAACAGAAACTATTAAAGAACCTAACATGGAAAATAAACTTTACAAAAATTCAAAGACAGACTCCACGAAGTCTCAGTTTAATTCCTCTCCATTTGAGAATATTTTAAACATTGAAACAAATGTTATTTTGCAAGATTCAAGCTTACCAATTCATAATCAATTTTCAAAGGACACGAGCAAAGACTCAGACCCGTTATTTTCAAACTCACAAAAAGAAATTTCCTTGTATAAAATGAATGATAATAGTAGAAAAAGTAATACAAATATTATTTTAAAATTAAATACTAAAGATAGGTTAGTTTATAATATTAATGCATCGGAGAATCTCCGAATAGCTAAGTTAAAAGAGTTACTACGATTGGATCATTTAAATAACGAAGAACACACATGTATAGAGGAAATGATTTTTAAAAATAATGACGTATTCCATTTGCCGGAAGAACTTCTCAGCTACTGGTTTTGTTAAACATAGAATTAGAACTACAGATGACAAGCCTATTAATATTAAACAGTATAGATTTCTACCAATAGATAAAGAAAGTCAAGTTTCAGAATTGTTTTTTTTTATTATTCCCCCGTTTAATTTACAATTTGTTTTTTTACAAACATTAGGTAAATTGTTCTGTCGTTTTGGTTCAGTTAGCATGTAGATACTCTCCCATTGGATCGTATCTGAGTTTGGGAAAGCTGCGTTATGGTTAGGATGTAAAATCAGTCGGATGTTTTCTTTAGCCTTTTTGTAATATGTGTTTTTTAGGAAATTGTTAGCTATGTTGTTCGGATGATTTTCTAGTCAGACTTTATATTTTCTCGAGTAACTTTCTATTTTTTCTTTAACCGATTTGATTCCAAGGTCATTTCTAAGGGCTTCGTTACGGATACGAGGTCTGATCAAAAAGTTCCAGGACTTTTCGAATTGCGCGCCTTCACGTTAACGTGCAGGGTTGGATTCGCGCTCATTTTTTAGCGGGAACCTTCCTGAGTAACCTCCTTTTTTTTTGTTGCTCTAACCTTCTCCAAACCGATGTTGCAGCTGTTTTAGTAAAGCCTCTTTTTCGTGTTCCGCGTTTTTTGTGATGGACGTGAAGGCAGAGCAGCGTGTTTGCGTGAAATTTTGCGTAAAATTGGGCAAATCGTTCACGGAAACTTTTCAAATGCTTCAGAAAGGCTTTGGTGATGAAGTCATGAGTCGTTCACGGTGTCACGAGTGGTTCAAACGGTTCAAGGAAGGCAGAACATCAATGGAAGATGACCCTCGTTCAGGAAGGCCTTCAACCTCAACTGACGATTCTCAAGTGGCCAAAGTGAATGCCCTTGTGCGTTCCGATCGTCGTTTGACGATTCGAGAGATGGCAGAGGAGTGCCACATCTCATTTGGGTCATGTCAGGAGATTTTGACCCAAAAATTGGAGATGAGAAGGGTTGCAGCCAAGTTCGTTCCACGACTGATGACAGAGGATCAAAAAGCGCATCGCCTGGAGGTTTGTCAGGAGCTCTTGGAAATGGCCAGTTCCAATGAAAACTTCTTGAAAACCATCATCACAGGTGACGAGTCTTGGGTTTATGGCTACGACGTAGAAACCAAGGTGCAGTCGTCCCAGTGGAAGTCAAAAACTCACCAAGACCAAAAAAAGCTCGCCAGGTGAGATCGAACGTCAAAGTGATGCTCACTTTTGTTTTCTTTGATTCCAAGGGCGTCATTCATCACGAATTCCTCCTACAAGGTGAGACAATCAACCGATTTCGTTACCTTGACACCCTGAGAGCTTTGCGTCAAAAGATTCGGCAGAAGAGGCCGGAATTGTGGGCGACAGGCGAGTGGTTTTTCCACCACGACAACGCGCCCTGTCACACCGCGCTCCTCATTCGCCAGATTTTAGCCAAAAACGCCATGACAACCCTTCCCCAGCCCTCCTATTCACCTGACCTCGCTCCATGTGACTTCTGGCTGTTCCCCAAACTGAAGTACCCGATGAAAGGACAGCGGTTTCAGACGATATAGGAGATCAAGGAAAAAACGCGGGAACAGCTGAACGGCATCCCTGAAGAAGACTTTTACAGATGCATGGAACAGTGGAAACACCGGTGGGAGAAGTGTATTCGCTTCCAAGGGGAGTACTTTGAAGGCGACAAATTGGAATAATTTAAAAAAAAATTTAATAAAGAGTTATTGAGAAAGTCCTGGAACTTTTTGATCAGACCTCGTATACCACGGAGCATTGACTATCGTACGTAATATTTTGGACTGTGCTGCTTCAATCTTTTTAACGTGGCTACGAGCGGCTGTTTCCCATAACTGGATGCCATACGTCCAAATAGGTGTGACGATCATCTTATATATGTAGGCATCGGCACGAGGCTTCCTTGTGTGAACAGGGACCATGGGGTGAGAATCGGCACGTGGCTTTGCCGTGCCGACGAACGACCGCTTCATTATTGTTAGATATCGCGGGTTGAGCGACGAGCCGTCGCTGCGACGCAGTCCGCGACATTAAAGGCGGAAGCCGCCCCTGTGTGATCGGCTGCGATCTCCGATGACGATCCGCCGAACGCAGAGGTCATGAGTGTGTGTGCGTGTGTGTGAGTGTGTGTGAGAAAGGCTTTTATATAAAGAACGAATACGATGACGAGTCAGTCAGTCTCGATCCGTCGACGTGAAATATTAAACTATCTTACTATTAAACGTGCCAGATTCTTTCCCTCCCCGCTCGACATCCTACATATATTAACAATTTGTTTTCTGGAGCTAGCTGGGAGTGTCTGTCTGTGAGCCAGTACATTTGCCTTCTTTTCGTTTTTATTTGTTCTATTTTCTTTTGGTTTATGGCACGATGAGGCGAGTAAAAGTTTGTGAAGATTTCGTCCTGCACATTTGGTCGCCAAATGTGCACGGTACGAAATTGATTTATAATACCAGCAGTTTTAGGCACTCTCGCGCCAAATTAGTTACCGCTCCATGTCATAAACCAAGGCTTTCCGAAGGGTAACGGGACGCTGTTGTTGTTCGTTCTTCGGCTCGCAGGGAGCCTCGCGTACGTTACCTCGAGGAAAGTCGCCAACGTTGCGAAACTGTCGTCCACCCTGGCGTGCATTCACACTCCCACTCCCAGAAAGAAGCGTGTTGAGGGCGCACTGTTGGGGGGGGGGGGGGGGGGGGGGGGCAAAGCGCTTCACCGAGGAGGCCTTAGTCTTAAGAATTTTTAGGCAGAATCAATTAGTACTCCACGGGAGAAACATCGATCTTTCTAAACATTCAGTGTGGCTGGCGGAAGCAAACTGTTAATTGTTTGTTACAAGTCATAGTCTTCTTTTCTTTGAGCAGGGACAGCCCCTGAATAGTCACGCATCCAAAGTTATTAAGTAAATACAGATCACTAGTTGTTTGTTCAACCAAGTTTTTCCTCATTGTAGTCCGAGTTTGTTTAACCATTTGTCACATTCTATATTCTGCGCATCTCCAACATTCCGAATCATTGCGGGCATGAACAGTACTTGCTCACAGACAGACACTCCCAGCTATCTCCAGAAAACAAATTGGTAATATATAAGATGGTCATAAAACCTATTTGGACGTATGGCATCCAGCTATGGGGAACAGCCGCTAGTAGCCACGTTAAAAAGATTGAAGCAGCACAGTCCAGAATATTACGTACGATAGTCAATGCTCCGTGGTATATCCGTAATGAAGCCCTTAGAAATGACCTTGGAATCAAATCGGTTAAAGAAGAAATAGAAAGTTACTCGAGAAGATATAAAGTCAGACTAGGTAACCATCCGAACAACATAGCGAACAATTTGCTCAAAACACATATTACAAGAAGGCTAAAGAAAACACATCCAACTGATCTTACATCCTAACCACAACGCAGCTTTCCAAAACTCAGATACGATCCAATGGGACAGTATCTACATGCTAACATGCAGTTAACGTTTTTCGTTTTATAATTCTAGGATGACGTGTTTGTCAGCTGCAACATTTTATACCTGATGTTCGTTTTCTTTAAAATTGTCGTTTTGTATGTGCACAGAATCGAATTCTTTGCCCTAGTTCGGTATACTCAAAAGAATTTCTGGCACTCGAACTATGATCCCCGAGAGAAAGTAATTTTGGCAGACTGCAAGAGGGTATGTGCTATTTTCATCGTTGTAATTAGTTTTTGCACTCAAGGCACTTGCGCTGGTTACGTGATGACACCTCTATTATTAGGTGAGTTAAAGTGGATAAACGGAGAACAATGAA